CAGTTTCTCTTAGAAAGTCCTCCACGAAGGCATCCCTCCCCTTAGGCAGATAGCCCTAGTGTGCTTTGCCATAATTAAAATACACCATACACAACAAATGCACAAATTATATCCGTAACAGTTCACAAAACTTAAGAATGAATACTAATTAATACATAAAGAAAAGCGTTGCTTTATTTAACACCTTCACAACTCATAAAAATAGTAACAATTGATTTCTTACTTTTCATGAAAATTATAAAACGAATTATCTAAGCGTTCAAATTATACAGTTTAAATCCTAGCATATATCATTGTATGTTAAGGAACGAATATACCAGCTATAAGCAAAAACATTAAAATGTATTTAACATGTTTCGATTATTATTAAGTCATTTTTGTCACATCTGGAAAGAAAACAACATGACATTGGGATATTTTTAACATACTTATAAAATTACATAAAAAAAAAAGGAAATCAATACTTACGAGTGAACAGTAATCCCAGGAATATTTTTCGAAAATCTATTTGTGCATCCATATGCAATATAAGCTGACAAGCTTCAAAAAGAAAAGGAAAAAAAAATGTTACAATTACAGACTTCCTTGCGCAAGTCACAGCGATAACAGTAACATGGCCGTCAAGCTTCACCGTTTAAGTTGAACCTTCCCTCCTTCTATTCTAACCTCCTCGCATAAGACAAGAGTGAGAACAGCGTCGGCTCAGTAGATTGTAGAACCACCTTTGCTTTGTTTTAATATGGTTTGTGATAATAATTTTTCCATCGTTCCATCATAAACAAACTTAAATTTTTCAGCTTGGTTTATCTGTCCTTAGTTAATTGAGAACTGACTGGATATACAATAGATAAAAAAATCATTAACATAATATCATAATATAACCACATGAGACAATATGACAGTTGCTGACATTGGATACTTTAGCATTATACAGAGGGTGTTTGCACATTTTGACAACGATTTCGATAAAAGAATTTTGAAAAAAGCAGATGTTTCGGAATAAGCATTTCTGCTGTATGTGTAAGCTGTAAAACAACATAAACCTCTGATGCAATACATAATCTAATAATGTGGCCATATGTATAGCTAATGTCCCACTAGTCGAAAGGATGACTGAAATAACATTACAGTGTTACAAAATTCTGATATTTATAAAAATTATTTGCATCTGCTTATCATGACTCATCATGAATGTTATTCTTTACAGAAATCAAATTTAACTTTACAAATTATTTATTAACTATGTAAACTGAAAATGAACAAAATATTTACATTAATTCCTTAGCATGTAATGAGTTAGTTTGGTCTTTCCAAGTATTATTTTGCTTCTTAAAGTTTACTTTTTATAGGAATATTTTAAATAGATGGTATGACAACTGCAGGCATCGTAGGAAGCTATTGTGTAAATACAGTATTTTGTGTGTGACTTAGTTGGGTCCTGTAGTAATAGAATTTTTACAAGCAATATATTTGAAATATATAACCGATGGTATGCACTCTGTTTATTATGGTAACTGATGAGAAGAAACTTTTGATTCAAACTGATATTTGATTAAAGCATGGTTAGGTGGTTCATTTAATTAGAGTAAAGCAATCGAGAGCTATTTGTGAAAGAAAAGATGTCCTCATGGAAGTCTTTCTAAGGAAAATTTACCATTACTTGTTACACATCATCAAATCTTCTAAAATATTTCTAAAATATCTATAAGTTGAACTATTAGTCTTCAGTAGTGTGCTGTCACTGTTTTTCAATTTCAGATGTTCGTTTAGTGATCCAAATACAGTTTTTATAGATAACATTTTATTACATTTAACGTATATATCAGCAGGTTTTTGTTGAAACATACATATGTAAAGAATTTGAAAATATTTAATTGCGACAAGTTTTAATACATTTTATTTTATTAAGAAATATGATTTGACATATTGCTGATAATTGTGAAAGTTTTTCATATATATACTCGTATATATATATATATATATATATATATATATACATTATAGAAAATGTTTAAATTTGTTTGCTTAGAAAACTTATTCTTAGTGTGCATTATAATTAAAGTACAATCAACAGCCCATCACAATATTCCTAAGATGACCATCGCTCACAGCGCGAGTATGTTTTAGAACATAATTAAATAATGCTATTGAAACATCAGTATGGAATCGGAGATGATAGTAATAGGGAAGTTTTTAACTTAATTTCATATTAGACACATTAATTATTGAGAAAATTAAATATGCAAATCTGTAAAAATAACAGGAGTGAGGAATATATTTATGTATTTACACTAAAATTGTACTTTTAAAACATTTTCTTTTATTATTTTAAATCTGAAACAATATTCCAATAGAATTTTAAGAATAGAATTTAATAATGAAATTTTAACTTTATGTAAATTTTCGGTTTAAATTGAATTGAATGAATATGGATTGGGGTTTTAAATGTTAAATTGTAGCTCGTAACAGAATTTTAATAACCATGCAACCCAATGCTTAGATAAAAACACTACTTTTAATCATCACTGAATGTGTTTTATTATTAAGAAGTAATAAGTATTATTGCGTGTATTATTGCGTGCATGTTGAGCATGATGGAAAATATAGGAATGATATATCGATTTTTCCCCTATATTTTATTACATAAAATTTTAAATAACTGTAATTTCATTTAAGTACAATAACTTCTTTTTAAATCATTAATACTGCAAAAAGGCTTTTTTAACGACATTGATCACATAATTACATAACTTTTTAAAAGGTTGAGAAATCTTTTTCAAGTACTTTCTGCTCTGTTAGACCAACATAATATGGTTTAAAGCAGTGGTGTTCAATCTTTAACCTGACGTGAGAAAATTTAGAATTTAAAAATTTTTTTCAAGCCACAGCTGTATATTGTATTTGTAATATTTCAGTCATAAATGTATATAATACATAAACTATAAAAATATGCTGTGGCCTTTCGTCTTCTTGAGATTAAGAAAAGAAAGATTAATAAAGTTTAAAAAAAGAGACAGATAAAGTTAAAAAAAATAATGCAGTTTCATTGATTAAGAAACTAATGAAAAAAACTCTAAAAGAAGAAACATCTTTTTCCAGGCAAAAAAGATATCCAAGAGGTAAGTCGAATCAATATGACACCAAATTTTGCGTCACTATGCATCATATGGTGGTGCACCGCTAAGTAAAACAGTTGTGCAGTAACAGAGCCTAATGTAAAAAGTACGGCAGTACTAGTTTCGGTCATCATCAAAACAGATCTAGCATTTTTTCCAATCAAGTGAGGTAAAGTTTAATCAGGTTTGGTATTTATTCTTTTTACCTTACAGGTCAAAACCATTTAGAATCAAATTGAAGAAATGTTGTTTCACTCTGCAATTAATATAATATCGAAAATTTCTCAAACTAGATGCTTATTTTAGGGGAAAAACATCATTAACTCTTTTTTCTATAAATCTGGTTTTTAGATTGCAGAAGGCATTTTTGAATTTTAGTGCATCTTTAAAAAAATTTCTTTTAATTGAAGACTGGCGTTCAAAAATTACGGGATAATATCTTCACCTACATTTTCAATTAAAGTAGATTTCTCTCTTTACTTTTCTATTGAAAACCCCAGATAGAAGACACAATGCCCTCAAAGCATGCTTTAAATAATAATTATGATGATAAAACATAAAATGATAAAGCAAATGCCTTTCAAGATAACTAGAAGTGTTACGTGTAACGCCAACATGTATGTAAAAAGAACTATTTTAAGCAGAACAAGTGTGCAAAGTAATTGTAATGCTTTATCCGGAATGTGATCAGCATCCGTGTCTGACTCAAAAATCCTCATACATTTTTACGTACATTTATTTAATTTCTTTATATTGCCATCCTTATCACAGCAGCTTTCAAATTTGAAGAAATCTTCAAGCGCTGCGATAACATGCACCGAGCAGTAAATAAGTTCTCTTATTATCAAATATTACGATGATTGCATGCAGGTAATTAAAGTTACGAACTGCAAAATAATGTGAAAGGAAATCAGACATCAAAAGGCTAAGCCTGTGAAATCCAATCCTTTATTTTCCCCTCTACTGCTTCTTTTGATTGATTTAAGCAACGACGACTGATATGCTACCGATCAACTGAGTCGCGGTTGTCAAGTTAATTGAGATAAATATTCTGCGGGAAATTTGTAATTTAAATCTTGCGAAAATTAATCTTCTTTATAGAGCATGAATTTGCATGAAACCCTAAGTGCCTACACTTTTATGCAAAACGTCCAAAATAAAAATTTCCAACAGAAGGAGAATGCTAGAGGAAAGGTTTATTTCAGTTCTTTATTTTGAACAGGTTTGTTATTTCACATCCTGCCTCCTCTTAAGGCATCGCGTTTAAGGTATGAAGTATTTAACTTAAAATTTGTTTTAATAGTCTTAATTTAAAATATATTCGTGAGATCTGTACTAATGAAGCAAAATACATTTTCTTAATGTAATTCTTCTGTGAAATAAGACTGTGTTTGCAGCTTAATAAAACTTCATTAGCGTCTTTGTAACCAAATTTTATTCTTCAAACATTTGTAAATCTGGAAATAAAGTAGAAGATAAAAAAGTCTAAAGCAGATTTCAGTTTTAATAGTGTTCTTTTGTCACTTAACGAGCAAATCTCAACTGTCTGCGTATAGCGCGGAAGGATAAATAAATGCTTTACTGAACAAAGCAGTACACCCAAAGCTGTATTTCTTTGTATAAACTTTCAAGACTTTTGAAAAACATTGTGATTTTGCATTGAATTTTCATTTACTTTTCTTTTAAATTAAAAGTGTCATTTGAACTTTATCAAATGAGTTTCGTGTTAATCATTTCACTTTTAAGACTGAATTTAGGCATAAGTACAGAATCTACATGTACACTTTAAGAATTACACATCAAATCCGGATCGATAGAAACGACGTGGTCCGTTCCCTTGACAACAGATTCTAGTGAAAAGCAAACATTAATGTAACAAGAATAGCCCTCTTTTCTCTTTCCTACTCATTCTAACTACTTGTTTTCACGAAGTACCTCCAGACAAAGCCTCTGTTTGCGATAACTTAGGTGAGTATGTTTGTAGGTCTGTTTGTTTTACACCTGCACGTTCAAGAGTCCTTTTAAGCAGGAAAATATTCTCATTCAATATAATTCACGACACGAAACGAAGGGCAAATGCCAGTAATGATACAAAATTAAATTTCTCTTTCTGTAAAGTATACAGCCGATTAATAAATGCTAAGCATTTTTAATAGCTTTCCCACCCTTGACGAATATTACATAATCTTAAAACTTCAGAAATGGTGTATGATGTTAAGATAAATGAAAAGAAAATGCGCGTTTATGCAAATGAAATTATACTAAATAAGGCAAACCGAAGTTGTTAAAGCAATATAGAAATAAAGTGATTGACAGAATTATTTACCTCTTCATGTCTTTGTTTTATTCATAACTTTTTAATTTATTAAATAGTATAACAGTATTAACAATGGAATACTTAATTAACAGCAATTGTCTTTTCTTCTAAAATTCTTCTTAAATCCAAATCTCCGCTTATTATTGACGCATGTTTGTGTTTTCTCAAACTGCTTTTATAAACCAAAGCATTATTTTTCAATTAGTTTCCAAATAGGGACGTACTAGAGGTTTTAAAATAAAATTTTAAATTAGTACCATAAAAACATAAACTTTAAGCATTAAAATTAAGGAAAAGGATATAAGTGGTTTTAAAGGCTACTTAAAGAATTAAAGTTGTAGGGTTTTCTTAATTTGCATAACAAATTTATTTTAAGTTTACTTGTTCTCAACTTCTCAAACTTCCTCTCACATTCTCTCGTCAGGATGTAAATTTCAAAGTTAAATGAAGTGCTATTTAAACGTGTGATTATCTCAGTTTATTCAGAGCGTGTTTCGCTAGCCTAGCGCACGTTTCGTTGATATTTTGCGGTCACTCGAGTAAGCCCTTTGGCCTTAGTATCACGCCGGTTAGATTTCTGTGAGTCCATCTCTTAGGAGTAATTTTGAAGTGCGTTCTTGCACTCGTTTTATTTTCAGATTTTGATTTGTATTCTAGTCTACGTTTAGTTATCGCCGCAAGTGAACGGTGTTTTTGCAACGCACGAAGTCCGTACTGTCTGTTATTTTAGTTTGAGTTAATAAAGGGTTATTTTTCACCCTTCTTCTGTGCTGGTATTTTATTTCACGCCTGTGCGAGAATTCGCCAGGTTCATCGTAGGATCTAAGTTAGTGCATGTGGACAGTTACAGATAGATCTTACAAAGTATAAGTCCTGATTTTATTCTCATATCATAAACCCTAGCAATAACGTTTTAATGTAATCGTAATAACGTGTAATGCAGTGTAACTTCTTTAATCTTTAATAATGAAAATGAGAATCTATGAAGCATTAAAACAAGATTAGCAAATATTTTGCATCAAGGATAAATACTGTTGTGTTTTAAAGATATTTAAATGTATTTTGAGAACTTAGTTACAAACATTTATTTGCTAATAACATTTGTATAAGCAGCCAAAAATTAAAAATTAAGTGTAAACTCTTAAACCCGCCTACGTTTTGTACATTATCTCCAAAGTTTGAAATAATATCACATTGTTTCCGTAATATAAATCTCGTTCTTATAAAAGTCCTGCAAGCCAGAGAAGGTGAAGTTTTCTTAGACCCGAGAGAGCATTAAATGAAAAATCCGTAAAAGTAAAAAAAAGCATTAAATCCGAAATTGCGCAGCTTAAAAGGAGAGCCAGTGAAAAAAATGACTTAAATGCTCGTGTAAATAGAAAACGAAATCTGGTGAGATCATGCCATAACTTATGGTGAACTGGAGTTTCCTGGAAGTCCTTGAGATATAGTGATTTCGTGATAAGGCTCGATTTCGAAAGTGATTTCAGTAACTTAATGATTAAATGCTTAATGATAAATTAAAAGACTTTTAAGTAAAAATATATAATAATTTTTTTTGTAAACGAATTATGTCTTAAATCACCAAGAGGAATCTATAATGTTTTAAAAAATGAAATTAAAAATATTTCAAACAACTGATATGCTTATGTACAAATGAGATTAAAATTACAAATAACATTCAATCGATAATGCCACAATTTCATTTGTAAAGAAAGAGTTATCACAAGAAACCCAATTTCTACAAACGGCTATTTTCAAATATGCTTTAAAAAGGTTTACTTTTAGAACTGATAAGTTAGAGATTTGCTTTATATATTTTTCAGCCTAACGACTTAACTTGTATTATGTTAATGTTCAGAAATCAACCATCTGGGAAGTGTGACATGGCAAAATGTGGGTGAGATAAAGTATCGAACCTTTTCAAATTTTTTTTTAAGTTTTACATTTTTAAAAAGCACTCGAGTTGTTTCTAAGAGATGCACTTTTACATTATTTTAAAATAAAGTAATATTTCGCTTTTATTTGTTTTATATTTTCTTATACTCATGAATTCAAAAGTACCGCACATCAGACTTTCAAAAATTATGGAAATATCGAAATAGATATTAAAGCAAATTGGTTCAAGGGATGATACCCTATACTGTTACGACTAATATATCTCTTGAAATTTCAGTTGCAGTTTATGATGTTAGGTTTAAAAACTTTTTGCTTGGTGCAAGATGGAGATGAGTTTCTACAGCTAAACGAATTTTTATTATTAAATATTAAATCGCAAAGCATAAATTTGTTTGTGATGACATCTTTCTTATGTTCTTTGTTGGTAACCGCAATGTTCATTTCTGGTTTCGTCCATTTTGTCCGAATTCAGAAGAAACGGCAGCCACTTCAATCATTATGGCGATCGCTTCCAGTTTCTCGAATTTAGGTTACCAGTCGGAAAATCATTCTCTTATTAGGTTCTCTCTTTGAAGGCTCAAACAACTTTTCCGTAAGAATGCAACCTCATCTCCATCTTGCATAAAACAAACGGATTTTAAAGTTATTAACACAAATTGCCACTGAAATTTCAAGTAATATATTACATGTAACAGTATAAGAGTGTCATCCAATGAAACCATTTGCCGTTAATAACTATTTTTTTACTTTCCATAATTTTTAATTAATTTGGATTTTGAAACACTCTCTATTTATTAATTATTCCCTTCCTTCAGCTTCTAAAATATTTTACTGAAGCAAAATCATCTAGATGTTTTTAGCAGTCTTTTTGTGCTCTGAAATAGAAAATGAAATTCACAAATGAAATAAAATGTATTTATTTCGCGATAAGAAGGAAAAAACATTTTTAAAAAAGAAGCTGTTTGAAAGATAAGAAGCTTTTATTTCAACATGAACGTATTCATTTCGCAATAGAAATGAAAAAATGAGAAAACAGCGAAAGGTTAAAAAGCAGTTCTCAATACTTCGAATTACTTGCGCACCACCAGTGGCAGAGTGTTTAAGACTGCTAAAAAGCGGACGTTTAACCTGTGTTCGATCTCAGACGAACAAGCTAGCTGCATGGTTAGTTTTCGTGATTTTCCCCATGTGTTACGCGAATACAAGCCATTTTCCCTTAGAAATTCATCCCTGAAGGCTTCCTTCCCTTTAAGCAGATAGCCCACGTGGGCTTTGCTATGTTCAAATAACCTAACCTAGAAATATCTGCTAATGCCACCGACACCAAAAAAAAAAAATATAATAATAATAATTCATATAATCTTTTCTTCGTTATAATTATTTACAAAATAGATCATGTTTTCATAAACATAAGAAATAAATTTAGTAAAACTGCAACAAAAAAGTCTAATTTAATATTTTAATTTTTTACTAGAATTAAAATTTAAAAGCAGTGGGGCAAAAACAATCTTTCCAGAAATAAAAAATATTCGTGACACTATGACAGCCATAAACAAGAGATAAAATGTTCTCCCCGTGCGTTTAGGATCTTAGTTTAGTATATTTATATTACATTCATTCAAATTAGCATTATTATGGTTTTTAATACTTTTATTTCATATCACAAATAATAAAACTAATCAATAATTATCAATGATAACTTGAATTTGACTGAGGATTTGTTTCTCCTCTCTTACTTTCTTTCATGGGTAAATCTTCCCGTTCAACTCCAGTATTATTTTAGACAGTATAAAAATATCATAATTATTTATGATTCATGAGTATGTATTTCCACAGCTTACTGAAGAAAAATTTAATCTTTAGAATTGTGCTTGCACATTATTTTATTCTTTATTTACATGAAAAATAATATGCAAATATATATACATATAAATTTCAAACTACATATATAGAGAAAAGATAGATAAATAGGTAGATAAACATATATACACCGATACATAGGAGTAAATAGGTAGATAAACATATATACACCGATACATAGGAGATTTCGCAGGAAATTAAATATCGTCATTTCTGTTACTTTGCAAAATGAATCCTTTTGACCTATGACATACTGCTACAGCAAAGATGATGCGAGCTTCAAAATTTTCAGTCCGTTGTGTTTCCAAACTTATCTCTACTTTGTATGCAATAAATTTCTGCTGGGAGTTCTCATTCGCGTTTTACGATACCTTGCACTTTTGAAATACCAGGATATTTACTAGTAGTCTCAACAATCGCTAGAACATTTTTAACCTCCTTATTTATATTTGAGCTTGACAATTAAAGATCAGCGTTTTAAAATGTCAAATCTAGATCTGTAAAATTTAACTGCAAACCACTCACACCTCAAATAGGTGAGTAGATATCATACAATGTTGCCTTATTTAAATTCGTATTTGAAGGAAGAAGATTTCCTTATAACACTTTACTTGTTAGCAATATAGCAACATTTTTATATTCTTGTTAATTTTAGATTTGAACTTTGAATAAAGTAACTGTTATGCTCTTCGTTCTATCTACGTATTTACTTTTCATCATTTAAACTTATCAATATTCCACGGCATCCCTTTTAATATTGTAGAAATAAGTTGTAGGATTTATTTTAGCTAACAATTATTTTGGTGTTAATATTTTCCTGTAAGATCTGTCTCTTCTGTTAGCCGTCAACGGAATGTTATATTTAAATGGCAAATGAGTTTGTAGAGAGCAA